AAAAATAATCAAAAAATCTAAAATTTAAAAATTTTACAGAATGTCTTAGAATACTTGTGGCCACCCAATTTGAGTGAAATTTAATCTTTTTGGGTGCCGAAAAAAATTACAAAAAAGCAAAAAATAAAAAATTTCAAAACTTCACAGAACGGCTTAGAATACCTGTGGCCATCCACTTTGAGCGAAATTTAATTTTTTTTAGGTGCCGAAAAGAATAAAAAAATAAAAAATTTCAAAACTTCACAGAATGGTTTAGAATATCTATGGCCACCCACTTTGAGCGAAATTTAATTTTTTTTAGATGCCAAAAAATAAAAATAAGCAAAAAAGAAAAAAATTTCAAAACTTCACAGAATGGCTTAAAATACCTGTGGCACCCATTTTGAGCGAAATTTTATTTTTTTTAGGTGCCTTAAAAAATAAAAAAAATCAAAAATCAAAAATTTTAACACTTCACAGAATGACTTAGAATACCAGTGACCATCCACTTTGAGCAAAATTTAAATTTGTTTAGGTGCTGAAAAAAATAAAAAAATAAAAAATTTCAAAACTTCACATAATTGCTTAGAATACCTGTGGCCACCCACTTTGAGCGAAATTTAATTTTTTTTAGGTGCCAAAAAAAAATAAAAAAAAGCAAAAATTTCAAAACTTCACAGAATGGCTTAGAATACCTGTGGCAACCAACTTTGATTGAAATTTTATTTTTTTTAGGTGACGAAAAAAGAAAAAAATGCAAAAAATCAAAAATTTCAAAACTTCACAGAATGGCTTAGAATACATGTGGCCATCCACTTTGTGTGAAATTTAATTTTCTTTAGGTGCCGAAAAAAATTAAAAAATTTTAAAAAATCAAAAATTCCATTTGGGCACCTAAAAAAAATTAAATTTCACTCAAAGTGGGTGGCTAGAGGCATTCTAAGTCATTCTGTGAAATTTTAAAATTTTTTATTTTTTTATGTTTTTATTTTTTTTCGGCACCTAAAAAAATTTAAATTTCACTCAAAGTGGGTTGCCACATATATTCTAAACTATTCTGTGAAGTTTTCAAATTTTTGATTTTTTGATTTTTTTTGGGCACCTAAAAAAATTTAAATTTCACTAAAAGTAGGTGGCCACATGTATTTTAAGCCATTCTATGAAGTTTTGAAATTTTTGATTTTTTTTAAAAAAATTCAACAAATTTCCTATTTTCCCGAAATCTGAATTTTTTTTTATTTTTTGGAAATTGTGATGAATTTTTCTAGAATTTTTCAATTTTTTTTTGGATTTTTTGAATTTTTTTGAGATTTTTAGGAATTTTTTCGATTTTATAATTATTTTTATTCCATTTCTTAAAAAATGGATTTTTGTTCCCGGAAATAGAATTTTGCGTTGTTTATCAAACGGGTTTTTTTTTTCAGGAAATAGAAATTTTGTGCTGTTATCAAGCGGGTTTTTGTTCCAGAAATAGAAATTTTTTGTCATTATCAAACGGGTTTCTTTTATCAGAAACTTATTCTCGAACCAGAAATAGAAAAATCTATTTCTATTTTAGGAACTTATTCTGGAACAGAATGGTTATCATTCGCTACCTAAGTGATCCGAAAAAAGCTTTTGGCACTAAAGTGAGTGTCGTACACAAGTTTTGGTACTTCTTGTGTTCTTTCCCCTCTTTATCCATTTTCAAATATTCAAACATTGTTTGAATATTTGAAAATGGATAAAGAGAAAACATATCGAGATTTTACCTATTATTGAGCTTAGACTTGAAAAGGAAGACATAAATTAGAGAAGGTACTCTAGATTACATTCTTTACTAGCATGACTTATTTTTAATGTAGGTTCTTAGATATACTTGTAAACAGTGGAAATTCTAGGCCACTTACTCAATTCTTTTTAATCTAATTACCAAATTTTGCATAAATATTTCAATATTCAGTAATTCTTTGTGAGTGTGATTCTCCAATCTAATCAGGTTATCTATTCATGGAAGGACAATTAAATTTGGGAAAAATTACCAAAAAAGTCCTAAAACAATTACATTTGTGCCAATTCAGTCTTAAATCTTTCAATTTGGCTAATTTAGTTATAAACCTTTAGACAATTTGCCAATTGAGTCCTTCGGCAAAAATTGGCAAGAAATAACTGCTATGAACACCAAATTGCCTTACGTGGTACGGCGGGCATTGTGAACAATTTTTTTAAATGAATTATTTATCATTTATTTTTTCTTTCTTTTTTTCTTTCAATCGCAAGACACTGGGCGAGGGCCTTCGTGGCCCCACCGACCAGGGACAAGGCAGCCCTCGTCTAGATCTAGCGAGGGTCGCTGGCCATGAAAAAAAAGAAAAAATCAAAAAAGTAAAAAAATTATAAAATTATAAAAGTTATTCACGTCAATGTCGGTTGTGCTACGTAGGACAACTAGCATCCATATTAGCAATTTTCAGTCAAAATTGGCCAGAAGGACTCAATTGGCAAATTATCAAAAGGTTTATAACTAAATTGGTCAAATTGAAAAGTTGAGGACTAAATTGGCACAAGTGCAGTAGATTTATGAATTTTTTGGTAATTTTCCCATTAAACTTGAATGATGATATTCATTAATTGGATGAGCTAAATTAAATCAAGGGAAAATTCTAAATAAGGGCCTGAAATGGACCTTGTTTCAAATAATGACCTGAAGTGGGCATGGCGTTTCAAATAATCTCACCTCGTCGACCAGCTAAATATCCTAGCTAGTGAAGGGCATTTTCATCCACTTACAATTTTAACCTAAATTTTAGTTAAATTAGATTAAAAATTAAGAATTTTAAAAAAAAATACAAGGGGAGCAAACGCTCCTTGCCTGGGATTTCTTTTGCTTGTGTGTGTGTGTGTGTTTGTTTTTTTAAATTTTAGCCTTTTTTTCTTTTTTGAATTTGTCTTTTTTTGGAAAGAAAAAGAATAGAAAAAGGAAAAGAAAAAGAAGAAAGAAAATAAAAAAATAATAAAGGGCCAAAATGCCCTTGACTAGCTGGTAAAGTCAAATCCTTCATTGAGACTGATGTGGCAACTTTATGCCTCTATTTGAAATAAGATCATTTCAAACCTTTATTTGATAAAATTTAGGCATTTCGTGTCCTTATTTGAAATTTTTCCTTAAATCTACATATTAAATTCAAAATGGATTTGATATTTATTCATATCAAAGTAAATATTGATCGAAAACGAGCAATCATGATGACAAAAAAACTCCTTCCATCCTCTTTATAAGTAGAAGCTCTCTCTATTTATCTTGGGACGGTATGTGCAGTTGCAAAAGATATCGAGACGTTCTTAAAAATTCTAAAGCACCAAATCTATAAGATTTAAGTCATTAAGACCCCTATGAACATGTCGTGAAGAGTTCACCAAGCTTTCCGAATTTAAGATCAAACCTTTAAATCTGGTTCTTTGTAAGAAGGAATCAAATGATTCGGGATCAAGCCACTAAGACTCTCGAATTGCGCTCATGCAAAGAACAAAAAAATGACTTATCCGATTTGAGATCAAACTATTGAGGCGCTTGAATCTCATTTAAAGAATGAGAAGGGATCTTAATTTAGAATCAGAACCGTGGCGAGAGAGAGATCAATTGCTAGGGTGTTGGCTCGGTTGGCTGGCGATTCTAGCCAGGTCCCAAGCGTGGGCCTGCTTGCCTCCGCTGTGCAAGGGTCGACGGGCGCTTCCATATATGCCAGTTTTCCTTTGGAGCAAGATGATATGGTTCTGAGCAACAAAATGCAGCTTGGCTATAGTTCATTTACGTTAGTCCATGGTTTCGAGAAGAGGGTAGGGGCAAAGGGCCAGGTGGCCGAGGAGATAGCATTCCGTGTCCCCTGATTCTGTTCTGCCAAATCAAAATCAAAATCCGAAAAGTGGGTAATCCAGGTTACTCTAGCAACAACGTATCCCCTGGTCATGTTCATTACACAACAAGAATCTCAAGGTGCGAACGTGAGCTTGCGTGGTCTTATATCAATATGTATCTGGCCATAACTTCAAGGCAAATTCATGTTCGCTCAAGCTACCTCCGGATAAGCTCCTGAGTCTCTGCCAAAATTGCCTTCTGTTTCCCACTCTCAACGGGCGCGAGCTATAATGCCATGCGGAGTACCCGGTTTCTTCATCCTCTATCCCTGTCGATGCTTGGAAGCATCCCATTTGTTCTAGATGGTTAGGGTCTTCGGTTGGTGTACTGTCGCCTGTCAATAAAGCTTCAACAAATTCATGTGAAACTTTACTAACTTTGCCATCAGCACAACTAGAGGATTCTTGGCCTAAGCAACTTCCAAGACTTAGCTCCTTCGCGGAATTTCGAAAGTCTAAAGTTGGAGGAAAAAATGCATTAGCATTCAAGAAAACAAAACCCAAGGACTTCTTAAAAAACTGTTGACCAAAACCCGCCCCCCTCCCTCTTTTGTGGAAAAAGCCCATTTTAAAACGCGAACCAAACGCAGCATAAACAAGCGTGTACGACCGATTTTGGTTTTATTTCTTTTACGGCATTAAGAATTGCCCCATCGACACAGGTTCGAAGCCATCGCCAGACGATATTAATCAACGCATTGTCGTACAGAGGGCGAAATTGAAGTTCGCACTTTCGAAAGGGACGATCCCCATTCGAGCATAGCTTGCTCGCGTTCTAAAGCCGCGTGTACTACAACCATTGGATGGCTTCCATATATTTTTCATAAAATCCAAAACAGGCGAAAGAAAAGAAACAAAAGGTATTTAGAAATAAAATTCGGATTCGATAATTTGATTAACTTTTTCTAGAATTTATGCCAAAATCCCAGTATTTTTTTTTTTAATATGTATGTTGGGCAAGTGAAGGAGACTCGAGAGCAAGATAAGAACAAATGCAATTGAGACTGAGAACAATCAATCTTTCAATCATACAGCTGCGATTCCCCCCGCAACAAGGACTAAACTCCAAAAACAAAAACCCAAAAGAAAAATATGAAAAGAAAAAAAAAAGAAGACAAAAAATTCTATTTAGTGCCCATTTTTCTTTCTCCTAATACGATCAATCCCCACGTCACCAGCCAAAAAATACACACACACAAATTAAAAAAGAAAAGTATTTTTGAACAATTTTCTATATTCTGAGAAAAATATGACAAACAGTAATTTTTCACTTTCCTACGGCGTCCAGTTCCAGATCCCGATCCTGGTATCTATCTTGCACTTCGCGTTCCCCGTCGACGCCGTTGCTGCAGACTTCCCGGCGGCCGGAGCGGTCGCTCTGATTCCGCCGCAGGTGACTCGGATTCCAACTCTCGTCGTCTTCAAGCCTCCGCCCTTCACCTTCGTGTCCAGCCTGATCTTCAAGGCCAGCCCGCTCTTGCTCTTCAGGCCCGACTTCAGCGTGCTCGCGGAACCGCTGTCCACTTGCTGGCCGTTGCTCGCGATCGACGTCTTCAACACCGTCGTGTTCTTCTTCCCGTGCACGAAGGACGGGATCGTCGCGTCGCCCAAGTCGACGACGCCGTCGGCGCTGAGGACCGACACCGAAATCGGGCTGCAGATGTGCACGAGCTTGCTGTTGGGGTTCCGAGCGGAGACCGTGAGGTCGAACTTGGAGCTGAGAGTGGAGGACGAAGAGGTGATGTTAATGTAGGAGACTCTGAGGGAGGTGACGGTGAAAGTCGGGCGGTGGGGGCGGTAGAGGACGTAGAAGGAGGCGGCGGCGGCAACGATGAGGAGGAGGACGAGGAGGGCGACGGTGGTCCAGAGGCAGCACCGGCAGCAGCAGCCGCGGCGGTGTCGGCAGCTCTTCTTAGGCTGCGGGCGGGAGGCGCCGCCGTAGAGCTGGCCTTTGGCCAACGGCGGCGGATTTGGTGGAGGAGAAGACTCTGTCCGTGATGGTGTTTGAGAGAGAGAGAGAGAGAGAGAGAGAGAGGAGACAAGAGGGAGGCAGCGAGAGAGAGAAAGCTGTAAACCAGTGAGCGGGGGATTATATACTTCACTCAAGCAAGAGAGCGCGTGTTGACGTTTTCGTTTTTGTGAATTCCTGCAATTTCAGAAAATTCGTATTTTCAGGATTGAATTATATATGGTAAAATAAAAGGCACAGCTCATTTTACTTTTGTTTTCTACCGCCGAAAATCTAATTCTCTCACAGAAATATTTTCCACAATGCATGGCAATGATTCAGCATTTTTCTTTAGTTGCGAGAGAGATAGTATTAAAGATGCGAATATGAAATTGAGAGCTACATTTTCCGTTGAGGAAAATCTTCTCTTCAATCGTGCTTGGGAGCGGTGGGTCCTTTGTGGATATCATCCACGTGCAAAATCGACTTAATTCAGAAGCAGGTGACGTCCATATTCGTAACTCGTCAATCGAGCGCGTGATCAAGAAATAAGACGCGGAATTGATCTTGATAACTGTCATGGACTGCCTTATCGAGAAGTTCAGATCAATTTCTTTGTTGCCATGATGATTTAACTTAGGCCAACAAATAAGATTTGAATGACTAGTTTAATCTACAGGGAAAGAAATTAGGTAGAAAAAAACTTGGCAGCTTGGGCCGTTAGGACGCGTTGGATAACGTTTCTATTTCTCTATTTTTCCGTTCTTTTGTTCACCGGAACAAAAAACCGTTTGTGTATGTCAATTAAGTTTTCTACTCCCCAGAATAGAACAGTGGCAAGGGAATAGATTGGGAACAGCAATAAGAAGTAAAAAAAATCTGCTTTTTTGTTCCCGGGAACAATTTGTGAAACAAGGTCATTTTCTCTTCTTCCTTCTTCTTCCTCCTCTAGCTGGTCACTTAGGGTGCGTATGGTAACGTTTCTATTTCTGGAAACAATTTCTTTTCGGAAATAGTTTTTTCTATTTCTATTTCCTGGAAGAGTTTCTGAGTAAAATAATGCGTTTGGTAACTGAACAAAATTTCTATTTCTAGAACAGAAATGTGTTTGGTAACTGCACAAAATTTCTATTCCTAGAATAGAAAAAGAACAGAAATGCGTTTGATAACTGCACAAAATTTCTATTTCCAATTTTTTGAATTCAAATCTATATCTTTTATTTAACTATAAGTTCAAGTTATAAGTGAAAAAAACCAATAAGCATGATTTATTGGTTTGTCTAATCCTTTTTAGGGGTTTAAATCCCCTTTTAATCCCTAAACTAAGGAATATTCAAAAATACCACTTGGGCACCTCAAAAATTTAATTTCACTCAAAGTGGGTGGCCACAGATATTCTAAGTCATTATGTGAATTTTTTTATATTTTTTTGGGGTAAAATTTATTAAAATTTTTTACTTTCCCTAAATTTTTGGGGTAAATCTGTTACTTTCCCTATATTTTTTTACTTTTTTTAATTTTTTCAATTTCGGAATTTTGCAAATATTTAAGGGTTTTCTGAGTTTTTCTGATTTTTATGGATTTTCTGAGAATTTTTCTGATTTATATGAATTTTGGGAATTTTTTAATTTTCTAATTTTTTATGGGATTTTTCTGAAATTTTTCTAATTTTTATGAATTTTCGGAATTTTTTAATTTATTCTAAGCCATTATGTGAATTTTTTATTTTTGATTTTTTTTTGGGAAAAGTTTATTAAAACTTTTTACTTTCCCGAAATTTGTCTCTTTTTATTTTTCAGAAAGCTTTTTATGAATTTTTTTTAATTTTTTCAATTTCGGAATTTTGCAAATTTTTATGGGTTTTCTAAGTTTTTTTTATTTTTATGGATTTTCTGAGAATTTTTCTGATTTTTATGAATTTTTGGAATTTTTTAATTTTTTATAATTTAATTAATTTTTTAATTTTTTATAATTTAATTAATTTTTTATTTTTTATTTATTATTTCCACCGAGAATGGACCAGACCGATGCTTTGAGACGGTTTGCAGACGACGAAGGATGGAGGAGGAGCTGAGGTCGCGGCTTGAGGACTGGACCTTTCTATTTCTATTTCTATTTCTATTTCTAGGAACAAAGAAGTAGATTTTTTCTACTTCTTATTTCTGCTCCAAATCTATTTCTTGGCCACTTTTCTATTCCAGAAAATAGAAAAATAAAATGCGTTACCAAACGGATTTCTGTTCTTTTTTTATTCCAGGGAACAGAAGAACAGAAAAATAGAGAAACAAAAGCGTTACCAAACGCGCCCTTAACCATGGCGAGGCCGACCTTGCGGTGGTTGGGAGAGGTCGACCCCGTCGGCCCTCGTCTCTGGCCGGTTGCCGGCCATCGCCGAGGCCTGGCGACCGGCGAGGAGAAAGAAGAAGGGAGGAAAAAAAGAAACAGAAAAAAAAGAAAAAAATTTAAAAAAATCTTAGAAAATTATTAAAAATTAAAAAATTCCATGTCACTAAAATATTTTAGGGTCGTACCAAATGCATTTCTGCTCTTTTTCTATTCCGAAAATAGAAATTTTATGCAGTTATCAATACGTTTTTCTTGCTAAGAACTTGTCTAAGAAATAGAAATAGAAAAAAACTATTTCCAAATAGAAATTGTTCCCGAGAACAAAATTGTTACTAAACACACCCTTAGAGTCGGAATTTCCAATTTAGGTAGAGGCGTTAAGTATTATCATATACTTTTATTAGTCTATAGGAAAAATTACCAAAAAAGTCATAAACCTGTTATAATTGTGTCAATTCAGTCATAAACCCTTTTTTTTTAGCAATTGAGTATTTATACTTTGACGTTTGTGCCAATTCAGTCCATCCGGCCAACAATCGCTGGCATGAATACCAATCGTCCTACATGATGCTATTAGCGCTGACATGGACATTTTTAAATAACATTTTACTAATTTTTTTTGTTTTTTCTTTTCCTTCTTTTGGCGGGGGGGGGGGGCCTAGGGGGCCGACCAAAGTCGTCGGTCAACTCTCGCTAGCATTGGGCGAGGGCGTCACAGCCCTCACTGTCTCTGGGTGAGAGCCACAACACCCTTGTTGGGCACTAGGCGAGGGCTCACGGCCCAGGTTGTGGCCGACAAGGACGTCGTGACCCTCGCCCAATGCCCTTGCCGGCCACAGCAAGGGCATTGTGGCCCTCGCTCAAATCTAGCGAGGAAAATATTCAATGTGATCTTTATATTATATGAAAATGATTAAAAATTTGTGGATCATATTGAACATTGGACCAAAATTAAGAAACCGTATTGAATAAATTAAAAGTTCGGGGATTACATTGCTCATTAAGCCAAAGTGTAAGGACTACATTAAAAAATTAAAAATTAAGAGACAACATTGGACATTGAACCAAAGTTTATTAGCCATTTGTGTTATTTTCTCTAATTTAAATGAGCTTTTTTACTTACACTTAATCAATTCAAAGTATTATTTAATTTTTGTGTCGAGGAAAAAATGTCATATAAGCCGCGGACGTAAAAAAAATAAAATCAAATGGCGAAACTCAAGTGAATAGCAAAAACTAAGGATGAGAATGATAACCATTCTGTTCCAGAAATAGATCTTTATATTTATATTCCATGGACGAGTTTCTGAACCAAAATATGCGTTTGATAACGACATAAAATTTCTATTTCTAAAATAGAAATTCGTTTAATAACAACATAAAATTTCTCCCTTCCGAGAGGCTGATGAGCGAGAGGCGGTGGACGACGGGCATTGGCGGGAGGCGGCGGGAGGTGGCCGGCATTGGGCGACGGCGGAGGACGGCGATGGGAGGCGGCCGGCGGCGGAGGATGACGACCGGAGGCGGTCGGCGGCAAGAGGTAGCCGACATTGGGCGGCCTAGGAGAACGGCGACGGGAGGCGGCCGGCGGCGGAGGATGACGACGAGAGGCGGCCGGCAGCGAGAGGTGGCCAACATTGGACGGCCGAGGAGGACGGCGACGGGAGGCGGTCGACAACGAGAGGTGCCCGGTACTGGGCGGTGGAGGAGGAGGGCGACCAGCGGCGGAGGATGACGACGGGAGGCGGCCGGCGGCAAGAGGTGGCTGGCACTGGGCGGCGGAGGAGGAGGGCGGCCGGCGACGGAGGATGACGACGGGAGGCAGCCAGCGGCGAGAGGTGGCCGGCACTAGGCGGTGGAGGAGGACGGCGACCGACGGCGAAGGACGATGACGAGAGGCGATCGGCGACGAGAGGTGGCCAGCATTGAGTGGCGGAGGAGGACAGCAGCCGGCAGCGAAGGACAGCGACGAGAGGGGGCCGGCGAAGGAGGACGACAACAGGAGGCGGCCGACAGGTGGGCGGTGGTAGAAGGTGAGCGATGTTGGGTGGCGGCGGCAGGAGGTGGGTGATGTTGGGCAGCGGCGAGAGAGCGGTGGGAGGTGGCCTGTGTTGGGCGGCAACGGGAGGCGACGGAGGATGGCCAAAGGCAGCCAGCGGCGGTCGACGGTGGGAGGCGGCCGGCGTTGGACGACGGAGGAAGGTAGACGGCAGGAGGTAGCCGGTGGCGGACGGCGATAAACGACAGCCGACAGGTGGCGGAGGACAACGGCCAGCGATGGTGGGAGGTGACCGGCTGCGATGGTGGAGCGATAGGTGGGCGGTCAGCTAGTAGTAAGGGCAAGTGATGAGAAGAGTTTTTATTTCTTATTTCTGTTCCAGAAATATAAAAGTAAAAAAAAATTACTTCTGATTTATGTTCCAAACCTATTTCTAGAGTATAAATTTGTTTTAGAAATAGAAAAATGAAATTGCGTTACCAAATGGATTTCTGTTTTAAACCTGCTCTTGAGAATAGAAAAATAGGAAAACAGAGAAATAGAATAGTTATCATGCGCGCCCTAAAAGTCATTCGAAACGGGGTGCAATTTGCTAATATCATTGTTGGATTAAGCCCTAATTCATTTTGTAAGAAAACCAGTGCAATCAATCAAAGACAAAAAAAAAATGGAGTTAGTTGTCAAATCCATGGCGCAAGTTGCCAAAGTGCTCACGTGCAAGCCACTCCATCGAGATTTTGTATGCACATGCTCCACGCTGAGCTTTCCGCTAATCTGCTATGTATTCATTTTTCTGGACTTTCTTGTTCTCTTTCTAAGAAATTATCAAGATTGATTGGCTTCAAGGTGAGAAGCGGATCGGACATGGTTGGTTATCGGTCCGTGAAATTGGGAATCAACCCCATTCATCCAGGAACCGGCGGTATTATATTTTTAAATATTTTATTTTCTTTCTCAAAAGTTCCTAAATATATATTGAAATTTACTTTGGTGTAGGATGAAACTACTATTCACTAGAAATTACCAGTAAAAGAAGAGGTTGCTTCCACAAATAATCCTTACTTTTTGCTCTTGTTGAATAAAAAAACAAACAAATAATATACTCTAAGGCCGGTCGCCGGTTTGGTTTGGTCAATTTCGTCGGTTCGGTTCCTCTCTAGGACCTAGAAACCAGACTAGTTATTCCCTATTTTGAAAATTTGGAATCAAGAACCACCCAGAGCTGTTTGGTTGATGTATCATTGTATCTCACATCTTTTTAATAGAAACTTGATTTTCACTTTATGAAAATTTGCAAGGGCTACCATGTAATTTCGTTTCTCAATCATTCTTTCTTACTAAAAAGTACAACAAGCAATTTTCCACGCTAAGTTTTGAGGGTAACACATTTAAAAGCTTTTTAAAATACTCTATTTTCACAAAATTTCGAAAAAAAATACTAATTACAATTCTATTAAATTATTAAAAAGTTTTGAAGGACTTTGCACCCCAATATTCTATCTATGTGATTTTGAGATTATTTAAGGTATTTGACGTTAAATGATAATTGAATATTGAGCAGGACGAGAAAAGTCCAAATAACAAAATTACTCTAAATTATATGCTAGACATTGACGTTAACCGGAAAATACTCTTGAGAAATTATTTGCTCAATGATATTTATTAAAACAAATTATGCCGCCCCAAAATCAAGTTCTGGCTTACGGGGGCTTACAAGGTATTTGTGATTATAATTAAAAAAGTATAATCTTGAAAATAACCGTGTTACGAGACAAATCAGTTGATCATTGTTTAGTTGCTTAACCATACATTTGAGCACTCTTTAAAGAATAAATCTTTTTTTTTCTCTTTTTGAAAAAATTTCGAACGGCAAAATTTTCTTAGTCCCGTCACAGCCCTTTTTTTCCGACAAAAGAAAAAAATAATTTTTCACTTGATTACATAAATATTCTAATTTCTCTAAGTCTTATTATTCTCTGGGAAAAAGGTGTCAAAAACCCTAAGTTATGTTCATTGTGATATATTTGCCTAAAATTTATATCCGTGTGATATATTTATTTCAATTTTTTTTGTGACACCAAATATCTTAAATATGTATCCGCACGACACATTTACTTCAAAATATGGGGTGAATTTGGGGTAAACGTGCCTCATGAGCACAAATTTAGGGTAAATATGTCAAATCGGTATGAGTTGGAGGTATAAGTGCAATATGAATACAAATGTTGGATTTTTTTATAAATCACAAAAAAAGAGGGTTTAGAGTAAATGCATAGCTGAGGGTTTTTGGTGTCTTCGTCCCTGTTCTCCCCTGTTAAAAGGATCGAGTCACTTTTCTGAAGAGCATTTTTCGCTGTTTCTCCTGATCGATCGCCGATCGATCAGCCAATCTTTGGTCGCCGATGGAGTTCGCGACTGGCAATCAAAGCCTCGCGCCTGGCGATCAAAGCCTCGCGCCGGTGCCGGCGCCGGGCGATCAAACCTTCGCGCCGGGCGATCAAACCCTCGCGACTGGCGATGAAAGCCTCGGCGAGCCTGGTGATCAAACCCTCGCGCCTGGCGATCAAAGCCTCGCGCCGGGCGATCAAACGCTCGGCGAGCCTGAAGATCATACCCTCGCGCCTGGCGATCAAAGCCTCGCGACTGGCGATCACAGCCTCAGCGAGCCTGGCGATCAAACCGTCGCGCCTCGCGATCAAAGCCTCGGCGATCAAACCCTCGCGCCTCGCGATCAAAGCCTCGCGACTGGCGATCAAAGCCTCGCCGAGCTGGCGATCAAAGCCTCGTGCCAATGTGTATTTGCTCGAATCCGCGCCTCTATCCTCATTTTCGAAATATGTTGTTACTAAAATTGTTAGAAAGTACCACCCGCCCGGGTGGCGCTTGGAGCGCGCACTCTTCCTCTCGCAAAAGGTTGAGTGTTCGAATCCCGGGCGCCGCAGGGCGAATTGAGTAAATGTGGCGTTTCATACGCCGTAGTCTCCATCCTCGGTCCTCAGAGTAGTGGTGCGCATTTGCATTTCATCTTCATGTTTTTTTTTCTTTTGCAGTTTCAATCTTATTTATTCTTTTGTATGAGTATGACATGGCAGGGAAGAGCACGTTGCTTAATCATCTCTTCGGCACCAAGTTTAAGATGATGGATTATTCAGTAGGGAGGCATGTCTACAACCTCACTCTAATGGAATTTGAGATTTGGATTCGGAAAGTCTAAAAACGGTTTCATATTTTTCCAGGTCTCAAACCACCATGGGGATGTGGATGGCTAAAGCTGCTGGTATGGAACCATTTACTTTGATTTTGGACGTGGAGGGAAGTGACAGTTTTGAAAGAGGAGAGGTGTATTTGCTTTTCCACTTTTGTATGTCTGCTTATCTTACCAACCCAGAAGGTTGATTTGTGTGTATCTAATCCTCATTTTTATTCAGGACGATGCTGCTTTTGAAAAGCAGATTGCTCTTTTCGCTTTGGCCATCTCCGATGTAGTCATCATAAACATGTGAGGCTTTTGCTTTGCTCTAGCGAGATATTGTTGTCTTAGTATTTTCCTAGTGCCCTTTTTACACATCTTTTTTTGTAGGTGGTGTCATGATATTGGCCGTGATCAAGCTGCCAGCTCGCCTCTTCTGAAAATTGTATTCCAGGTATTTCTTGTCCTCTTGAGTTAAGATAAGCTAAATGTTTAGTTCTAAGAGTTAATGATAAAGTTGTGACTCTTCTTGAAGGTCATGATGCGATTGTTTAGCCCTCGGAGAACAACTCTGTTGTTCATCATACGGGATAAAACAAGGGTTGGTACCTATACTTAATCATGTTTCCATTTTGGATTGTGATGGTTTTTATCTGCTCTTTGATTTTTCTTTTTATCCAGACTCCTCCGAGATATATTGAAAATCGCTTGAGAGAAGATGTGCAGAAGGTGAGGGTTGTTGCATTTCCTTTGGAAAATCGACTTTGTAAAGTTGTTCCTGGTTTCATTTAGTATTTTCCTGCAGATATGGACAAGGTTCCTAAGCCACAAGCACACAAGGAAACTCCTCTCAGTGATTTTTTTAATGTAGGTGCTTTGATGCTTGTATGAGTTCCTCTCGATAATTTGCTTTCGCCGTTAATTGTTGCAATGAAGTTCGTCCTAATGAATCTCTTCTGCTGTTCAGGTTGAGGTTGTTGCTCTCTCTAATTATGAACGCAAGGAACAGCAATTTAAAGAGGAGGTATACCTACCTTGCACCGCATGGAAGCATGTTTGGATCTTGAGTGCAATTGCCTAATTTTTATGTCGGCTTTGTTGTTGTGTTTGGACAAGATTTTCAAATGCTGCAGTGGGCGCCCATTCCTTCACATAAATCCTGTACTGGAGTACTGTTTAAAACGAATATTGGTCCTCATATGCATAAGTATTGGAATATCTGTGGAAATGCCACTCATCATTGACAGCTATTTCTTATTTTCTTGGGGCTTATCATTGCTCAATCATCATTATCGAGTTTGGTGATTTTCACTACTCCTCTGTTCCCATTCTTAATCAATTATAGTTTGAGATGTGTTATGTATCCATCTCATCTTCTTGTGCTCTATTGTGGAATTTGGAGCATTGGTTGCCAAATAGATTATACTTTTCATCTGTACTAATTTTTTGCCATATGGTTGAATTTCCTTGGACGAACAGGTGGCCAGCCTTAGACAGCGGTTCTTCCATTCTATTGCACCTGGTGGGCTCGCCGGAGATCGAAGGGGAGCAGTTCCTGCTTCAGGATTTTCTTTTAGTGCTCAGCAGATGTGGAAGGTCATTAAGGAGGATAGGGACCTTGACTTGCCTGCACACATGGTGAGAGTTAATTAATTGAAAGGCCACTATATATATTGTTGATAATGAGAATGCTAATGTACACATCATACTATCCGTGTTAAGGTCATGGTTGCTACCGTACGATGTGAAGAAATTGCCGACAAAAAATATTACAGTTTTACTGAAAATAAGGTATTGATCTGGTTCTTGCTGGACATTAAACTTGCTTGTCTGTTTCACTATTTTGAGATGCAAGTAGATGCATTTTATCTCACATTTTAAGATCGGGCGAACCCTTCTGAACATGTTAGGATTGGCATTTGATTGAAGAGGCTTCGCAGTTGGGACCAGTTCCTGGTTTTGGAAAGAAACTCGGTTCAATTCTTGAGGCTTGTTTATCGGGGTAAGATAAGTAATTTTATCTGATGAATTACAGATGGTGGTGCAGCAACTGGCTTTTATGTTTATTAAATAATGCAAGTACATTAAGGTTATCCAGCGCAATCGGCTTCATGTTCTTACTTCTAAGAATGTTGTTTCTTTAAGTTGTTCCTGGCTTACGTGAAGTGGGGGCAGTAGGAGCATTTTCTTTTCTTGGAACGAGTGCATTTTTTAAAGAGAAAACACAAAGGAAACCTCATTTTTTTTTAAGTTTATATTGTTTAATTTTAGGTTGCACGAGTTTGCTTCTGTGATATATCTACTAGCTGGTTGTTGAGGTTTAGCCTGAGTAGATGAGATAATAGCTGTTGAGGTCTGGCCTGTGTTGGTGAGATACAGCTATTCTGTTCAAGTGATCATTCCAATTTGGAAATGGCCCCTTCATTCACAATCTGAGTATTATTTCAACTGGTTGTTCAATGGTTGCTTTCGAGCAATCATCTTCTCCTGATAGTAGGAGAGGAATGGCTAGTTACAGTGTAGCAGTTGCCTAGCTGATGGCTTAGCTTAAGTTGGCCTTCTGTTTGTGATGTTTCCTTGTTTTATTTTTGGCCTTCTAAGAAGTTATGGGACGTTTTTTCTTGCTTAAAGTGCATGATTTTTTGGGTTCTATTGTATGACTACCACTTCAAGCTGCTTGTAACGTGGAAATATTTTCCCTTTTTGACACATTTTTATTTCAGTCATGATGTTTTCATTTGAAGTTAAGCTTACACAGAGAGACCATCTGTTGAGGATATCTTATCATATGTTGCTGATCCTGTTTTTGTGTGAATCGTCAGCTTGTACAACCGGCTTTCCAATCTGTTCTTGAACGTATTGGGTGGGAAACTCTAGATAAGTTCAAGGAAGCATTTGAAAAGGCTTTGATCGGACAGGAAGTGTTTTGTGTGGCTGCTCATGACTGCACTCAGTCTTATATGGCTCAATTTGACGAAGGATGCGCAGGTACAGCAACTTGTAATGCCCTCGTTTGGCCTAATGTTGTAAAGTTAATGCTCTGAAAAAGTAGGCCAAGAATGAAGGTTTGTCGTTGTGCTTTGTCTTGTAACTAAGCTCTCTTTTGGTTCTTTGACTCTTTTTGTCATTGCATTTGCACTCCCTTGGTGACCTATGAGTTGTTTTACTTGTATCTATCAGAAATGAAGGTTTGTGTCTGAGACTGGAGGCTGATGTGAAAATATGGTCTTGTTGGTAAATAACACTCGGGGCATTTAGGAAACTATTTGTAGGTTCATGCCATGCTTTACTTTGGACTTGTTATTAGAGGAATATTACCACTGACTGTATGGATAAGTTTCACATCATACTTTGAACAGATGCCGTAATTGAACAAGCCAAATGGGATACATCTAGAGAACGGGAGAAGCTGCAGCATAACATTGATGCCCATGTTGCTTCAGTCCGTGCTGCCAAGCTCTCTGAGCTTACAGAAGCATCTAAGGTAGCATAATGAACAGAGATATTTCTTCTTCTCTCGAGCTTCTCTTTACGGATGGAGGGCTTTTCCCCCTTTCACTTAATGGTGGTTGATGGAATCTGCACAAATTTTTTTACATTTGTACAGGCACAACTGAATGAAGCTCTGTCTAAACCAGTGGAAGCTCTTTTGGATGGAGCTAATAGTGAAACCTGGTCGACTATCAGGATAGTTCTTGCGCGTGAGACCGAATCGGCTGTAACTGGGTTTTCTGGTGCCCTTTCTGGTTTAGGCATGATGAACAGAGCAAGGAAAAATTCCTCGCAGGTATAACAGATCATGCAAGGGGAGGAAGGAATCTGAATTAGTCCTCAGACGCATGAGGGACCGGTAGGCACACTCTTTAAGTTTGTGATTTACTCGTTGGTTTGATTCAATACCTCTTGATATTCTTATGTGCTTCATTTGGTTATCCAGGTTTGTAACAGTGTTCAGCCGTGATACCGACTCTATGTCAAGAGTCTGGACTGGAATTGAACATATTCGAGTAATCAAAAAACTTGCTCATTTGGAGGTATGCAAATTTTATATGCGGTGCAAATATTTTACATGTTTCCCCTGTTGCTTGCTTGTGGATTTTTACTGAAATAATTATGATACCTGCAGTCATTGAGGTTGCTCTCTGTATTGGCGGTTGTACGATTGGATGATAGGACGGATGATATTGAGCAAACATTGTCAGTTGATTCGCTGGACCCCCAACCCAGTACCACTGACAAAAGTATTAAAATAGTAGATCTCTTGGCTTTAAACGCATGGGAAGAGGTGAGTTTTTCTGAGTTTAGGCCCATTGTCCATTCTAGTTTCAATGGTATTATTTTCTGAGAGCATTTATATACTGTTAAATTGTAGATTTCTTTGTCAAACACACTCATCACACCTCTTCAATGCAAGACATTGTGGAAGCAATTTAATGAAGACATTCTTTATATTGTTACTGAAGCAATTACTGCTGAGGTACGTTACCTATATCTTATATTTTGTTTAATAGTGCAAAGTTATTTAATTATTTGCTCTTTTTTCTGTTGGAATTTTCAGGAAGCAAAGAGGGCTGAGGCTAGACGGTTGGCTAAGAGCCAGTGGAAATCCCAGTTGGCAAATTTTGCTTGCGTAGCTTTGGGAGCATGCTGATTAAAAAAACTTCTTTAGACGTGTATATACAAAATTTCGGTTCTCCTGTGAGAATGACTTACTGTTTTTCCCAACTTGTGACAAGTTACTTCAATTTGCCTGCATGACAGTCTCAATCGCCACGTGAATCTCATTTGTGGAGGTAACATGAATGCTTTCTTGATGCTCACACCCTATCTTGCTTTGCAAACATGCTCGTACAGATTTATGATATGCATTAGGCGACTATTATCCCATGCTTAGCCTTGATCATACTAGTTTATCCATCAGTTAACTAGTCCAACAAGCAGCTATTTTCATTTTTCCTTTTGGTACTATTAAGAAAAGGAAAGAGAGTTTAAAAAAAGAAAAAAAGAAGAAGAAAAACCCCCCATCATCTGCTTTTGTTTTGTTTTCTAGATGTGACTATCATTTGTATCATTCTCTCCTTTTGTCCTCCCTTTTGAAAGAACTTTCTTAAGTTCGAGTATTGTCGAGCCTTGGTTTGAAATGAAAAGAAGCAGTTGGGCTTTTCTTTTAGCCACCTAACCACCTCTTTCTTTTCTACTAAAAGAATCTTCTCCTTCTCTATCCATCGCTTTTGTGATACTAAATGTGGGTCTTCATCTGGATGTGAATTTTATCACTTCGAGCAATATCCATGATTTGGTTCTTCAAAACGTTCCAGTTTCCGATACTTCCTCTTCACTTCTTTTTCTTTACTTGAAGCTGGACACTCTTCTTAGACTGAGCTGAGAGATAAAAAATGGGAAAATTACCAAAAAAGTCCTAAACCTTTTGCAGTTGTGTCAATTCAGTCCTAAACTTTTTTTTTGGCCAATTCAGTCCTAAACCTTTTTCAAACCAGCCAATTCAGTCTTTTTGGCCGGCCGGCACTGACATGGCGCCGGCCGGCGTCCACGTGGCAATATTTTAATATTTTTCTTTTCGAATTTTCATTTGACTATTTTCAAATGATAGTCATATCTAGAAAACAAAACAAAAGCAGATGATGGGGGTTTTTCTTCTTCTTTTTTTCTTTTTTTAAACTCTCTTCCCTTTTCTTAATAGTACCAAAATGAAAATGGCTGCTTGTTAGACTAGTTAACTGATGGATAAACTAATATGATCAAGGCTAAGCATGGGATAATAGTTGCCTAATGCATATCATAAATCTGTACGAGCATGTTTGCAAAGCAAGATAGGGTGTGAGCATCAAGAAAGCATTCATGTTACCTCCACAAAGGAGATTCACGTGGCGATTGAGACTGTCATGCAGGCAAATTGAAGTAACTTGTCACAAGTTGGGGAAAACAGTAAGGCATTCTCACAGGAGAACCGAAATTTTGTATATACACGTCTAAAGAAGTTTTTTTAATCAGCATGCTCCCAAAGCTACGCAAGCAAAAATTGCCAACTGGGATTTCCACTGGCTCTTAGCCAACCGTCTAGCCTCAGCCCTCTTTGCTTCCTGAAAATTCCAACAGAAAAAAGCAAATAATTAATAACTTTGCACTATTAAACAAAATATAAGATATAGGTAACGTACCTCAGCAGTAATTGCTTTAGTAACAATATAAAGAATGTCTTCATTAAATTGCTTCCACAATGTTGCCACGTGGACGCCGGCCGGCGCCACGTCAGGGCCGGCCGGCCAAAAGGACTGAATTGGCTGGTTTGCAAAAGGTTTAGGACTGAATTTACACAACTGCAAAATATTTAGGATTTTTTTGGTAATTTTTCCGATAAAAAATGGGTATGCAAATGCAGTTGATTTTCATGCTGATGGGAGTACTTGTGCTCTGTCATTTGTTGTCGGTTCACGGTTCTGCAGGTAAAGGTTTGGTTGATTATTGTCTTTGGCTCAATGTGTATTGAGATTGAACTGTGCATGATCACATCGTGTTACCAGTTGGATCGAATGCAGATCCTGATCAAATTCTGTGTATGAGTTGAAATTGAGCATTATTTAAGTTGTCTATGCCAGAAGCTCACGTAGTACCTCTTGATGGTTAAAATCACTTCCCGCGTGGAGGAAGCTAAATGTAGCTAAGCAAATTGATAAATTAACAAAATTGGCTCACTATGGTGAGCTTTTATATTCGAGTAATTTGTACGGAAGGTGTCCATCAGAGAGACATGTCCTCCTGCTTCTTGAATACTCCCAATGACTATGACAGACTCTTTCTCGAGATGTTGTCCATCTTGCTAGTGCTCTTATCCAAGCACGCCTATCATTGGAGTTTCAATGCTAAGCTTACTGTTACGTCAAAATGCACTATTTCCTTCTCTCTCTCTCTATATATATATATTCTAGGAACATTATCGCCCTTTTGTTATGTAATTCGGTTCATTTTTGCCTTCATTCGATGCGCCATCCTAGAGGTCCGCCAGAAATTGCTCCTTTTCCGGGCCCTTTGGCCCCGGCAATTACTCTCTGATCTCATTGGACCGGGTTTTTGCAAAATGCGATTCAAGTGACACCCCTCCACAAAAACCATCCATGAGACCATGTAAATTTCCAAACATGAACAAAACCCGACATGTTTCAATCGCAGTCACCTGATGCTATAATCTAAGTGATGTAGCAAGAAGCTCAGGGATTAAGAATCGAACTCGTCCCGTTCTCTTCGCCACGAGGATCATCACAGTTCACGTGAAACTGTGAATCACCGACAGATGCGAGAGACATTATTAGTATCGACAACAGTTCGGAAATTGCCCATGCTCGATAGTCCATGGTCAGCGAACGAATCAACTGTCGTTTTGCTGAGACTGGTGTGGTTTTTCCAGCACCTTTGCTTGTTACAAGAACGAAAACTACCAAGCCTGCGGTGCTTGTGTCAAAGTGGTGGGGACCTGTGACTCGCTTAGGATCATGGAAAATTATTTAATTATTTCGGGAATAGTTTTGCTTTTGTTTTTGTTTATTTTGCCATAAATGAGTTGGCAGCTTCTTGTCTTTATGTCGTCCAAAGGGATTGGTATGACTTTGAATTGACACATGCTCGGACTTTCCGGAAATTATTATATTATTTCTCATAAATCAATTTACAATAAGGTTTTTTTTTGTCGGACAATTTACAACAAGGTCAGTGATAGTTACATTTTAAAGAAGGAAAAAGTGTTAGAAAAATCATAAATTTATTGCAATTGTGTTAATTTAGTTATAAACATTTTAATGTTGCCAATTTAGTCCTAAATATTTTGGCCTTGTGTAAATTCAGTGCTTCCAGTTAATTTTGGTCGGATATTGCTAACGTGGACGTCGGCCAGCCTACATGGCACCGCCTGTGCTGATGTGAATAATTTTTAATAATATCTTTTCGATTTTTTTAATAATTTAGTTGTTTTTTTTTCCCTTTCTTCTCCCTTTTACCGATGACTAGCCACAAGCCATGGCTAGGCAGGTTGGCCACGCCTAAGCAAGGGTCGCCATCACCCGCCATAGGCGAGGCCTGGCCAAACAAGGGCGAGGCTTGGGCGACCTTGCCAAGCGTCGCCTTCCCCTAGGCGACATTGGCAAGCCGATTGGCTGAGTAGCTATTGAAGCTGGGACACACCATGAGCTGCTTGAGGCTTTCTAGTTCGTTCAACATCATCTTCCCCCTGCACGTCCAAAGCGTTGCTTTCTGATTCGAAAGAATGTTAAAATATTATTAAAATTTATCCATGTCAGCACCAACGGTACCATGTACGTCGACCGGCATCCATATCAGTAATATCCAGCTAAAATTAGTCGGAAGGATTGAATTGATACTAAATCAAAAGATTTAAGATTAAATTTGCATCAATACAATAGGTTTAGAACTTTTCTAACGCTTTTCCCTTCTAATGAAAGACAAATTCTTTGTTTTTTTTATTAATTTCTTGGACTTAAATCCGAATAAAACTGCCTTTTTCCCCGATTGGTTTCCCAGCTTTACTTGTGACAAGGAACATGCACATGCCTTTATGACGTCTTAATTGCCACGTGAATCTTCTTTCCGAAGGGAACTTGATTGCATTCTCGATGTAATTCTTCTTTCAAGGTGGGTGGAGTCAAAAAGGAGGAAAAGAAATAAGTGATAATCACATCTACAAAATAAAACAAAAGCAGATGATGGGCGGTTTTTCTTTTTAACTCTTTTCCCTTTTCTTAATGGTGCCAAAAAGAAAAAGAAGGGCGCCTGTTGGACTAGTTAACTGATAAACAAACTAGCACGATTAAGGCTAAGCATGGAATTATATTGCCTAATGCATATTAAAATTCTGTACAAGCATCAATACCCATTTCTTTATTTTAGTCATTTTTCTTTTTTTTGGCCTTGCCAACCTAACCCGAATATAAAAAAAAAATGGTAGAGAAGTCAGCCATGTCAATAATTAGAAGACATTTAGAGCGTGAATGACAACCATTCTATTTCAGAAATCAATTTCTGGCCAGAAATAGATTTTTCTATTTTTATTCCATGGATGAGTTTCTAAGCAAAAATACACGTTTGATAATGACATAAAATTTTTGTTCCTAAAACAAAAATTTATTTGATAACGGTACAAAATTTCTCTCTCTCAGGCGATCGGCGAGTGGACGGGGGTGGTCAATGGGAGGCGGCGGTGGATTGCGGCGCGGCCAATGCGGAGAGACAGCTGGCATTGGGCAATGGCGGGAGGCAAGCGACTACGGGTGGCGACGAGTGGCGGTGGGAGGTGGTGGCCGGTGGTGGGAGGCGGGCAGCAGCCCACGGCGACCGGCAAATGACGAGAGGTGGCGAAAAGCAGGTTGGTGGCATCGAGAGATGGGCAGTGGCGGGAGTAGGGTGGTGGCGGGCAATGGCCCAAGGCAACCGATGAGAGGCAGCGGACGGCAAGCGGACGTCGGCGTGCGGCGAATGGGCGACTGGCTAGTAGTGAGGGCGAGCAATAAGAAGAATTTTTACTTCTCAGTTCTAAACCTATTTCTGAAATCAAAATTTGTTCTAGAAATAGAAAAATAAAATTACATTACCAAACGCATTTATGTTCCAAACCTATTCCCAAAAATAAAAAAAATAAAATAAAATGATTATCATTTCGCAACTTTAGGTACATGAGTATGAAAACTTTTTACTCAATAATGTTGCACTTTCCTAGGACTAAAAGATATTTGTCCCCTAAAATTTCCAGATCTTGATTTGACTAGTTCAAGGGGTCTACAAGATGTCCCCAACATCCGTAGCTTAATTGAATTAATGTGCATGTGGGTCATTGGTCCTTACAATGTAGTTGGTGATGATTTAGTACTAGGACTAATGATGGATCTTGTTGGATATTGGACTTAACGGTGCTGAATGTTTCAGAATAATAACGTGGAATAGAGAAATAATAATTTTGTGTATATTTTGGTATTATAGAAAAGAATATATGAATAGGTTTTAATAGATAACCATATAAGGAAATCAAATTGGATATTCATAATTAAAATTAGATATTAAAAAATAAGAAAAAATATCCTAAATATCTTTAAAAGATATCTAAATATCTCTAACAGCCACAATAAGCTAAAAAGATGACTCGGTGAATTTACCCGAAGAGCAAGCGGAAGAAAAGAAGTAGAGCAAAAAGCACACGAGAAAAAGACATCACGTTGAGGAGCTAAGTTAGCTGACCAATCATGTCCAGGAGTTGAAAAGCAATCTTAGATCCCAGCATTTAATTGGGAAGAATTGGTTAATCTTTATTAAGTAATGGAAAAAGTACAGCTCCTAATAACTTCTGGAGAATCATGCCTGAATCAGTCGAAAAGAGGCCAAGCAAATCCGGCATAGCACCATTAACCTATTTTAGTAGTTGAAGAATGATTTATGCGGGTGTCCAATATGGATTTGAAGACAACTGATCCAACATTTGAATTGCACATGCATCTTACTTGAATTACAAGTTGAATGGAATACTTCGTTCATATTAATTTTCTGGGAATCTCATGTCTGAATAAACTGAAAAGACGCCAAGCAAATCGGACGTAGCATCCTGACCTATTTCAGTAGTTGAACTATGATTTCTTATCGGGCCTACGATAAAAATTCAAAGATAACCGATTGGATAAAGGAAAGAATAAAGGAAAAGTATCCAGAACAGAATAATCAATCTAGGATAGATTTGATTCATTCAATCTGTTCTAGAATGGCAAGCATATCTCCAACGAGGTTGAAATACGTCGTACCTCTGAGACATCCTGTCACTGTTTCTCCGACCGAACCTCGCGAGGCTTCCCTCATTCGATCGTCGGATCGACCCTGCTTCGATCCATTGCCAATGGGTAATTTGCTCGTATCCGACGCCTCCGATCCTTTTAGTTCTCGTGTTAAAACTTGCTCTTCATACTCTTCTTTATCATGATTGAAGTCTCCGGTTGCAACCACCTCTTTTTATCGCTTTTGGAATCTCTGAATTGCCGTTGGTTTGCGTATAATTAGGTATCCTCGTAACTGTTGTTTAGTCTTAAGGTTCTTCGCTCGTAATGTCGAATTAATGCATCTACAGGTTTTTATGCTATCAGTCAGATGGCGTAGTTTATTATTTAATATTCTAACACTCCTCACGCGTAGTTTAGTCTAGTCTTTTTGCCTAGTAATAAGCGTGTACATATATAATTAGAAAGACAAATAGGAAACTCAGGACCTCTAAGTCTGATACAATATGAGATTTTGTGGGATCACTTCTAACTATCCTAAATCTATTCTGAAAGCTGTTAGTTAAATGTTTATTATTTAATATTCTAACACGGCATAACTGTTTCCTCCCAATTTCTGATCGTGTTTGTTGCTGGGTTAGCTTGGTCTCTGGGAAGGCCAATTGCAAGGGCTGAAAGGTTTTAGGGCTTTATTTCCCTCAATGATAATTTCGGCTCTCGAAAACCCGTGGAAGAGAGCTTTAGTCATTTGATGCTATAAGAGTGACTGTGAAGATTAGGAAATTTCTTCGCTAGTACCCTTTTGTTTGTGTTGCAAAGGGTAGCTGATGACATTAATCATGGTGTTAGTGTAACAGGATACCAATTTAATCATCTCCCAAGCACTATAAAGATGATTTATAGATTATTGTTGACAGCCGTGTTTCGAGAGATTGACAGGGATTAATGCACTTCCTTCATCATTAGGAGAAATATGTTATCGATAAAATTGTTGAAATAATGAAATCAACCTCTTGGTACTTCTCGCCATTTAGATAGGATCCTAGGTTTTCATTCTCAATTACGAGTTTTTATAGTAGTCTTGTCTCCTCTAGACACAATGTACAGGCTTATCAAGTCACTCTCTTTTTGACTCGCTAATCTGAACAGGTAATCCTGGTGAATGTTCTTCTACTCAACTAATTGATGGAGATGGCACATTTAATGTCGACGGACTGGAAAATTTCATCAAGGAGGTCAAATTGAGGGAATGTGGTCATTCATACGCCGTAGTCTCCATCATGGGTCCTCATATTAGTGGTGTGTATTTACTCCCAATAACTTAGCTTTGGATTTTTCTTCTCTTGCTAGAAATGGATTAGATCAAAACTTTTTGTAAGGTTCTTGTTAGGGCTGTGAAATGATTTCCAGTGGCTCAAATTCAGTTTAATTCTTTTATTTTGTTTCATGTTCATGTATCTTTTCTTTTGCCTTCATAAGAGATTCAAACTTATTCTGTTGTTGTGTATAATAATATCAAACAGGGAAGAGTACGCTGTTAAATCATCTATTTGGCACCAACTTTAGGGAGATGGATCATTTTAAAGGGAGGCATGTCTACAAACCGACTGTTTAGCTCACTCTTATGAAGTATTTGGATTCCGAAAGTGCAAAACCAGTTTGGTATTTTTCCGGGTCCCAAACCACCAAAGGTATATGGATGGCAACAGCTGCTGGCATGGAACCGTGTACCCTGGTTATGGACTTGGAGGGAACTGGAGAAGGAGAGGTATATTTACTAGATGATTTTACATGGATATATAATAGCTTATTTTGTCTATGTTTAACTACTTATTTTTATCCATAAGTAATTGCAAATTCTTTTTTTTTTTTACATGTTGAAAGATAATTTGTGCATCGGGCAGCTGCTGTATTATCTTTAACTTGCTTTTCCACTTTTGTATGTCTTTGCTCATCTTACCAACCCAGAAGATTGAATTATTGTGTAGCTGATGCTCATTGAAACTCACCTGATTCACACTTGGTTTGGGTAAGCAGCAATTAGCATCCTCACAGCTTCTTAACCAGTGTCGTTTTTATTCAGGACAATACTGCTTTTGAAAAGCAGAGTGCACTTTTCGCTTTGGCTGTCTCCGATATAGTGCTCATAAACATGTGAGGCTTTTGCTTTGCTCTAGTGAGATACCGTTTCTGTTGCTGCAATTTTATCTACGAGGTTGTTGTTTTAGTATTTTCCTAGTGCCCTTTTTACACATCTTTTTCGTAGGAGGTGTCATGATATTGACCGTAAGCAAGCTGCCAGCAAGCCTCTTCTGAAAACTGTATTCCAGGTATTTCTTGTCCTCTTGCGTTAAGATAAGCTAAATGTTTAGTTCTAAGAGTTAATGATAAACTTGTGACTCTTCTTGAAGGTCATGATGCGATTGTTTAGCCCTCGGAGAACAACTCTGTTGTTCGTCATGCTGGATAAAACAAGGGTTGGTACCTATATTTAATCATGTTTCCATTTTGGATTGTGATCGTTTTTATCTGCTCTCTGGTTTTTCTTTTTATCCAGACTCCTCCGAGATATCTAGAAAATCACTTGAGAGAAGATGTGCAGAAGGTGAGGGTTGTTGCATTTCCTTTGGAAAATTGACTTTGTAAAGTTGTTCCTGGTTTCATTTAGTATTTTCCTGCAGATATGGGACGAGGTTCCTAAGCCACAAGCACACAAGGAAACTCCTCTCAGTGATTTTTTTAATGTAGGTGCTCTGATGCTTGTATAAGTTCCTCTCGATGATTTCCTTTCGCCTCTAATCATCAAAATGAAGTTCATCCTAATGACTCTCTTCTGCTGTCCAGGTTGAGTTTGCTGCTCTCTCTAATTATGAAGACAAGGAAGAGCAATTTAAAGAGGAGGTATACCTACCTTGCACCACATGGAAGCATGTTTGGATCTTGAGTGCGATTGCCCAATTTTTATGTCGGCTTTGCTGTTGTGATTGGATAAGATTTTCAAATGCTGCAGTGGGCGCCCTTTCCTTCACATAAATCCTGTGCTTGAGTACTGCTTAAGACAAAACTTTGGTCCTCATATGCATAAGTTTTGGAATATCTGTGAAAATGCTACTCATCATTGACAGCTATTTCTTATTTTCTTGGGGCTTATCATTGCTCAATCATCCTTGTCGAGTTTGGTGATTTTCGCTACTCTTCTGTTCCCATTTTTAATCAGTTATAGTTTGAGACGTGTTATGTTTCCATCTCATCTTCTTGTGCTCTATTGTGGAATTTGGAGCATCGGTTGCCAAATAGATTATACCCTTCATCCGTACTAATTTTTTGCCATATGGTTGAATTTCCTTGGCAAACAGGTGGCCAGCCTTAGACAGCGGTTCTTCCATTCTATTGCACCTGGTGGGCTCGCAGGAGATCGAAGGGGAGTAGTTCCTGCTTCAGGATTTTCTTTTAGTGCTCAGTAGATGTGGAAGGTCATTAAGGAGGATAGGGACCTTGACTTGCCTGCATACGAGGTGAGAGTCAATTAATTGAAAGGCCACTGGGTATATTGTTGATAATGAGAATGCTAATGTACGCATCATGCTATCCGTGTTAAGGTCATGGTTGCTACCATACGATGTGAAGAAATTGCCCACGAAAAATATTCCAGTTTTACTGAAAATGAGGTATTGATCTGGTTCTTGCTGGACATTAAACTTGCTCGTCTGTTTCACTATTTTGAAATGCAAGCAGATGCATTTTATCTTACACATATTAAGATCGGGCAAACTCTTCTGAACATATTAGGATTGGCATTTGATTGAAGAGGCTGCGCAGTTGGGACCAGTTTCTGGTTTTGGAAAGAAACTCAGTTCAATTCTTGAGGCTTGTTTAGCAGGGTAAGATAAGTAATTTTATCTGATGAATTACAGATGGTGGTGCAGCAACTGGATTTTGTGTTTATTAAATAATGCAAGTACATTAAGGTTATCCAGCGCAATTGGCTTCATGTTCTTACTTCTAAGAATGTTGTTTCTTTAAGTTGTTCCTGGCTTACGGGAATTGGGGGCAGTAGGAGCATTTTCTTTTCTTGGAACAAGTGCATTTTTTAAAGAGCCAACACAAAGGAAACCTCGGCTTTTTTGAAGTTTATATTGTTTAATTTAGGTTGCACAAGTCTGTCTCTGTGATATATCTAGTATCTGGTTGTTGAGGTTTAGCCTGAGTAGATGAGATATAGCTGTTGAGGTCTAGCCTGTGTAGATGAGATATAGCTATTCTGTTCAAGTGATCATTCCAGTTTGGAAATGGCCCCCTTCATTCACAATCTGAGTTTTATTTCAACTGGTTGTTCAATGGTTGCTTTCGAGCAATCATCTCCTCCTTATAGTAGGAGAGGAATGGCTAGTTACAGTGTAGCAGTTGCCTAGCTGATGGCTTAGCTTAATTTGGCTTTCTGTTTGCAGTGTTTCCTTGTATTCTTTTTGGGTGAAGATTATGTTCTGTCAGGGTTAGAAATTTGTCTATCACTATAAGTACGTTTTATTTATAAAGTTTCTTGTGCTCCTGATTAGGTATGAATCAGAGGCCGTCTATTTTGACGAGAATGTTAGATCTTCGAAGCGGAAGTAGCTTGAAGAAAAATTACTTCAAGTAAGAAGTTATGAGACGTTTTTCCTCGCTTAAAGTGCATCATTTTTTTGGGTTCTATTGTATGACTACCACTTCAGGCTGCTTGTAACGTGGAAATATTTTTCCTTTTTGACACATTTTTATTTCAGTCATGATGTTTTCATTTGAAGTTAAGCTTACACAAAGAGACCGTCTATTGAGGATATCTTATCATATGTTGCTGTTCGTGTTTTGTGTGAATCGTCAGCTTGTACAACCGGCTTTCAGATCCGTTCTTGGACATATTCAGTGGGGAACTCTAGATAAGTTCAAGGAAGCATTTGATAAGGCTTTGAATGGACGGGAAGTGTTTTCTGTGGCTGCTCATGACTGCACTCGATCTTATATGGCTCAATTTGACGAAGGATGCGCAGGTACGGCAACTTGTAATGCCCTCGTTTGGCCTAATGTTGTAAAGTTAATGCTCTGAACAAGTAGGCCAAGAATGAAGGTTTGTCGTCGTGCTTCGTCTTGTAACTAAGCTCTCTTTTGGTTCTTTGACTCTTTTTGTACATGCATTTGCACTCCCTTGGTGGCCCATTAGTTGTTTTACTTGTATCTATCAGAAATGAAGGTTTGTGTCTGAGACTGGAGGCTGATGTGAAAATATGGTCTTGTTGGTAAATAACACTCGGGGCATTTAGGAAACTATTTGTAGGTTCATGCCATGCTTTACTTTGGACTTGTTATTAGAGGAATATTACCACTGACTGTATGGATAAGTTTCACATCATACTTTGAACAGATGCCGTAATTGAACAAGCCAAATGGGATACATCTAGAGAACGGGAGAAGCTGCAGCATAACATTGATGCCTATGTTGCTTCAGTCCATGTGAGCTTACAGAAGCATATGAGGTAGTATAATGAACAGAGATATTTCTTCTTCTATCGAGCTTCTCTCTTTACAGATGGAGGGCTTTTCCCCCTTTCACTTAATGGTGATTGATGGGATCTGCACAAATTATATTACGTTTGTACAGGCACAACTGAATGAAGCATTGTCTAAACCAGTGGAAGCGCTTTTGGATGGAGATAATAGTGAAACCTGGTCGGCTATCAGGATAGTTCTTTCGCGTGAGACCGAATCGGCAATAACTGGGTTCTCTGGTGCCCTTTCTGGTTTAGGCATGGATGAACAGAGCAAGAAAAATTGCTCGCAGGTATAACAGATCATGCAAGGGGCGTGGTTGAAGCGAAAGCAAGGAAGGAATCTGAATTAGTCCTCAGATGCATGAGGACCGGTAGGCACACTCTTTAAGTTTGTGATTTACTTGTCGTTTAGACTCAATACCACTTGATATCTATGCCAAGAGTTTGGATAGGTACGGAATATATTCGAGCAACCAAAAAACTTGCTCGTTCGGCGGTATTCAAATATTTTATATGTTTCTCCTGCTTGTGGGTTTTTACTGAAATGATTCAATGATACTTGTAGTCACTAAGAATGCTGTATGTAATGGCGGCCGTACGATTGGACGATGGGATAGATGTCAATTGGTTTGCTGGACCCCCAACCTAATGCCACTGACAAGTGTCACGGTCGGTTGTTTGGGGAGGACCCGTGCGGCGACTTAGGCTCCCTTGGATCATAGGAGAGCCTAGGCCAAGCCTTTTCTCGATCACTCACTCGTTGCTCAAAGCAATGGAGCTTACTACGTGCTTCTTGTTGAGCAAACTCGGGAAAGAAATAATCCCGAAACTCCTCGACAAATCCATCCCAAGAATTGATGGGATCGGCGCCTCGTTTCGTCTCATCACATCTATTACGCCACAAAATTATTGCATTATCAACTAGGAACATCGAAGCGGTTCGTTCCTTGGCCAAGTCTTCTTGGATCCCAACGGCGCCGAAGTATTGCTCCATGCTCCATATGAAGTTGTCCATCTCCTTGCCGGACCAGTTGCCTTTGAATTCTTTTGATTTTGGCACATCCAGCTTGTGTGCCGCTCGAATGGGCAATGCACCATTCACGATGCTTGTTTTGCATAGGACGAGCTCGGTTTTGAGCTCTTGCACCTCCATCCTCAAAGCTTCAACCTCGGCTTTGCAGTTGCCTTTTTTGAGCTCCACAACTTCAAGCTTTAGAGCCTCGATTGATGCTTC